TTCAAGTTTTCAAGTTCTACTTTAATTTTATTTGTAATGTACATTTTTTCTTAAGTATTCAAGTTTAATTAGTTTCCAAGTTTCAATTATGGTTTTTGTTCTTATTCATTATGCTTATAAGTTAAGATGCTAATTTGAATGATTTATCACCATTTAGGCTTGCATGTTAGCTATCTTAGTTTGAATTAAGAGTAGACACCGTGCTTTAATTCGAATTGAACTATGAATAGGAGGAGTATGTATGGACATTCGACAATAGGGATTAGATACATGCTTGGTTGTTTAAATTGTTCTTCTATGCTTAATGGGTTCCTAATGCTTAATTAGGGAATTAGGGAATTAGGAACACAAGGTTAGGAGCAAACACCATGGCTTAATCATACTTTAGCTAGAATCAATCCGTTAATCTAATTGAACTTGGGAACATATCTGCGTGAGTTATTTTCTTTTCTTTCTTTCTTTCTTATTTTATTTATTTTATTTCTTATTTTTTCTGTTTTGTGTAGGAAAACTGAATTGGATTATTCAATCACCAATCCCTGTGGAATCGACCTCGCACTTACATATGCTATACTACCGAACGGCTCGTGCACTTGCGAGTATCACAAGTTGAGGATGCAGCTGAATCCATTTTGGTGCAGCTGAATTGACGCAACAATTGGAGACGAAAATATTTGCTCCCACAATAATAATATATCTTGAGTAAGTAAAGTCATATTCTACCTATGTAATTTGCTTGTTCTTGATAAAATTGAATTAATTATTTTCATTTGCTTTGTCTTTTCAGGATGATGTACTTTTGAACTCCTAGTGAGTAATGGCAAAAGATATCCAGTTTTACAATTGTGTTCAACATATTTCTGGTGTTGTATGTTTGCATCGACAGAGATCCATTTTAAGCTTATCTAAGCCGTATAGCTTCTTAGGGTCAGTTAAATGTGAGTTATTTTTTACTAGACAAGAAATAATGGAATATATGAGGTTTGAAATTTTGTTAGGGTCAGTTAGATGGTGCAAGTCTTTCTGAATAGTTGTTTATCTGACTCTATTGAACTATGAGCAAGGGCTGTTTAACACATATCTTGTTTGATTACTTTGTAATTAGTTGTATTAATAATTTTTTTTGATGCAATATGTCAGATTGCGTTCTCTATTTTGCCTCTTATCATCTTTATTTGCTTAGATTTGTACTTTGCATCAAATGGAAGATTATTTCTCCAAAATTTGCAGTGTTTGTGATAATCTATTGAGCTACACATAAAGTAGATGAGACACAACATGTAACGAGGTTTGGCCATGCTTATGTCCTCAGAGAGCAACAACAGTAACTTTTCCATTATGTAAAATAATAGGTTACAACTTTAGTGTTTACAATATATGTGGCTCACTGATTTTTCTCTCCTGGAGAATTTCTCTATGCGCTCTTTTTCCTCTCCTCTCACTTTCTTTCCTTCTCTTCTTTCTTCTCTTCCTTTCTCTCCTCTCTGCCTGGGCTCTCTGTTCCTTCTCTGATGGTTGGTGTGTATCACGCAAGGGAAGGATGAAGCCTTTTTATAGGAAAAGTTGATAGCTTCCCCTGAGTGTGCAATAAACTCATGCACCAAAGTCTTCAAACAAATAGTAAGTGGGCTCCACTACTTTATTCTTTACAACAATAATGTACTTTTTCTATGGGTATATTTTTGCTTACCAATTTAACCCAAAGCAAAAATCTCCTCTTTTCCCACTAATAATGCACACATAAACAATCTTCCCTGGTAGTCCAACTATTCGAGTGTGGACTTCTGGATCTTAAAAAGACTGCGACTCCACACCTTTGGTTTCCCCTTCCCATTCCCTTCCCTCTCTCCCTCGAGTCTTTGCCTTTGAGCGACTCTATCTTTTTCTGCGTCTCTCTGAATATTGTGAGGACAGAGAAGAAAACTGTGGAAATGGAGAGGTACTTGAAGGACTTCGAGGTGGAGAGCAAGAATCCTTCGGAGGAAACTATTCGGAGATGGAGAAAAGCCGTCGCGCTCGTCAAGAACCCTCGCAGGAGGTTCCGCTTCGTCGCCGATCTCGCTAAGCGTAACGAGACCGAGAAGAAGAAGCGTCAAATGCAGGTCTCTTTCTCTCTCTCAGCTTATGCATTTTTTACGTTTTTGTTTTCATTTCGTTAAAAAAATATGAACACGCCGCCGTTTATAGAGGTTTTACTGGGCTGATTGTTTGGTTATTGAGAAAAAAAGGGTAGGAAAACAAAAGAAATTAAAACGATTTTCAGCATTTTAATTTGAGTAATTTGGACTGCTAAAAACTCAGTGATCGCTAATCGTAGGTTGTAAATTAAATCGTCATTTCCTACTGAATGGATGATATTTATTTAGACTAACATCTCCGCATGCGCCTGAGGTTTTTTTTTAAAAATTAAATTTATTTTAGAATTAAAAAAGATGGGTAGTTGTATTCCATAAAAATAGCATCTATTTTCTGATTTTTCATTTATTTTATTTTATTTTTTTAATATGAAAAAGTGTGGGCATTTGTATTTTGAATTTTTAACCATTCTCTGCCTTTTGCTTTATATATATAGATGAGCATTTTGGATTAGGACTCACAAATGAAAGAAAGAAAGACAAGCAGGGTGCTATGGATTTTGTTTCGGCTTACAATGCGTTACGCGTGGGTGGTCCCACGTTTGTTTTCAATTTCTTTATTGTAGTAATGTTTTTCGATCTCCGTCCGTTTTGAGAGCTCGTGGTATTGATGCCCACATGCATTACCTTGTGTACTATTGTATTGATGGCCTCCACTACACCGTGGAGATAGGAAAATCATCAGCGTGCATTACTAAAACAAAAAATGTGAGGTTTGAAATTTTCTTAAAAAAGAAAATATCAATTTTCCGATGATGGGTACAAAAATAATAAAAAGATCTGACTTCATCTTCCAATAATGGCAAGGGAATGAAATTTCTAGGAGCTTTCGCATGACAAAAATGTCAAAAATAATGACCTGTAAAACAAGAGGGTTTCGTCGTGTTGGTAGTGGGTGGCCATTGATAGAGATTATTGGCTGTCTCTGTCCTATTTGATCCTTAAAATGGGAGGGTGGGTGATGCAGGAGCATCTGCGAAGCACTCTAAGATTACATGGCATAAAATTATGCTTCACTTGTTTTTTGTTTGTTTTGGTAAGGAGTATTATGGATCGTAATAAATTATCAAGAAAAATTGTTTTTACATTAACGTCTTGTTTGATTATAAAACCAAAAAAGGGGTTGCAGGAGTTGGCACATCATGCTCAACTATTTGTTTAATTTCAGTTGATTGTGATTTTCAGTCAAACACGGTGCAAACACGGATTTGGTCGACATTCTGAAATAATAATTGTCAGCAACAATGTATATATTGAATGCTGAGATGCATTGAGAGTAGTTCAAATCTGATGTAATAACTGATAACAGGACTTCGTTAGAGATCTTATTTGAGGACCGTACAAGAGAAACAACTGCATATATGTGTGCAGATGCACAAATGTGGTTGTAAGCTATATACTCGGTGGTTACTCTGTTATTTTCAGTTGAAGACATTGACTTGTGAACTTTTACTGGTACTATTGTTCTGGGGGACTATGATTGTCATCAGTTTTTTGACTTTGTTATTCTTCTTTGTTTTACCAGGAAAAGATTCGAGTTGCTCGTTACATTCAAAAACCAGCACTGCAGTTTATTGATGGTATCATCTTTAAGTTTATAGGTCTAGTAAAAGTTCATTTTGTGTGTGGTGTGCTGATGTCATGTATTCATTCCTTCCCACTCTTTGTTATGTGATCTTATGAAGCTGGTGCTGGTGATCGATCCAATGAAAAGCCAGGACAGGATGAATACAAGCTGTCTGAAGATGCCAGAACCGCAGGTTTCAGCATTCACCCAGATGAACTTGCATCTATCACGCTTGGCCATGATATTACGGCCCTGAAAATGCACGGTGGAATTCATGGGATTTTAAGGAAAGTCTCTGTCTCACTAGATGAAGGTGTCAAGAATAGTAACATACCAATCAGGCAAAATGTTTATGGCATAAACCGCTATACGGAGAAACCTCCCCGAACATTTTTTGTGTTTGTATGGGAAGCCCTACAAGACTTAACATTAATAATCCTTATGGTATGCGCTGTGGTTTCAGTAGGAGTTGGAATTGCCACTGAGGGGTGGCCAAAAGGCATGTACGATTGTGTGGGAATTTTAATTAGTATAATTTTAGTGGTTATGGTTACTGCCATTAGTGACTACAGACAGTCGTTGCAATTCAAGGATTTGGACAGGGAGAAGAAAAAGATTTTTGTTCAGGTCACTAGGGATAAAAAAAGACAAAAAGTTTCCATTTATGACTTGGTTGTTGGAGATATTGTCCATTTGTCAATTGGGGACCAAGTTCCAGCTGATGGAATTTTCATATCAGGATACACTTTGCTGATTGATGAGTCAAGCTTGTCAGGTGAGAGTGAGCCGGTGAATGTATATGAAGAGAAGCCTTTTCTTTTTTCAGGAACTAAAGTGCAGGATGGGTCAGGTATAATGCTGGTGACAACAGTTGGTATGAGAACCGAATGGGGAATGTTGATGGAAACTCTGAGTGAAGGAGGAGAAGATGAGACCCCACTGCAGGTAAAGCTGAATGGTGTTGCTACAATTATTGGTAAAATTGGTCTGACTTTTGCTGTGTTGACATTTTTGGTATTGGCAGTAAGATTTTTGGTGGAAAAAATACTTAACAACGAGATCACTGATTGGTCTTCAACTGATGCAGTAACCCTATTGAACTACTTTGCTATTGCGGTAACTATAATTGTTGTTGCAGTTCCCGAAGGATTACCATTGGCAGTGACGCTGAGCCTTGCTTTTGCTATGAAAAAATTAATGAATGATAGGGCACTCGTAAGGCATCTCTCAGCATGTGAGACAATGGGTTCTGCTAGTTGCATTTGCACAAATAAAACAGGGACATTAACCATGGACCACATGGTAGTTAACAAGATATGGATATGTGAAAAACCTTTACATGTAAAAGGTAAGAGTAAAGAAATATTGAGTTCAGAAATATCTGGAGCATCAAGCATCCTTTTACAGGTTATATTCCAAAATACAAGCTCTGAGGTTATTAAGGAAGACGGAAAGACCTCCATTTTGGGGACACCAACAGAGTCAGCATTATTAGAATTTGGGTTACTTTTGGGTGGCGATTTTGATGCTGTGCGCAGAGAGGCTAATATTCTTAAGGTTGATCCTTTCAATTCTGTGAGGAAGAAAATGTCTGTGCTTGTAGCTTATCCTCATGGTGGGAAACGAGCATTTTGCAAAGGTGCATCAGAAATAGTACTGGGAATGTGTAACAAATTTATTGACTTTAATGGAGAATCTGTTATTCTCTCCCAAGAACAGGAAAAGAATATCAAGGATGTCATTGATTCTTTTGCTTCTGAATCCTTGAGAACTCTCTGCTTGGCTTTCAAAAATATAGATGACTCTTCCATCGAAAATGACATCCCCGATAATGGCTATACATTGATAGCAGTTGTCGGTATCAAGGATCCTGTGTGCCCTGGGGTCAAGGATGCAGTTCAAACTTGTTTAGCTGCTGGAATAACTGTACGAATGGTCACTGGTGACAATATATATACGGCTAAAGCCATAGCTACAGAATGCGGCATACTCACAGAAGATGGTTTAGCCATAGAAGGACAGGAGTTTCGTAAGATGTCTCTTGAGCAGAAGAAAGCTGTTATACCGAGGATTCAGGTTACTAAATAATTTCATTGGAAAATTTTCACCCTTAACCATAACTATTTAAAGATGTTCACAAAAAATTTAAATGTTCATGTGGATACAGGTGATGGCTCAGTCTTTACCGTTGGATAAGCACGCCTTGGTAAAAACTCTGAGAGATGAATTTGGTGAGGTAGTTGCAGTGACTGGCGATGGGACCAACGACGCTCCTGCTTTGCACAAGGCAGACATTGGACTTGCTATGGGCATCGTAGGAACAGAGGTTTGTGTCTCAGCTATTATTTTTGTTGTTTGTTTTATTATTGTTGTTACTAATATTACTATTTTGGTGCCTCGTGCCCATATTTACCCTTGGACAGAAATGACCACCAAAATAGAACTTCTTCCTAAGAAAACCTGACCACCAAAAGAGAACTGCTTCCTAAGAAAACCTGAACAGGCCTCTCGCCCTCTTCAGTACCCTCCGAGCAAGAAGCTGGTGAATGCAACTTAATTGTTGTGTCTTGTTCTTTTTGTCAATTTATGTTGCTTTTTAACACCCCTCTGGTCCTCTGACTTGGGAAATAGGCCAACTTGAGATATTTACTGTGATTTCCCTCTGGTCCTCTTGCTAATTATAGCATATACCGCTTTCTGGAAATCACAAGTCCCTCTGCTTAAATCAACTATTGAATTATATTCAGCTAATTATCGACAATCTGAATGTGCATAAGGATAACTACCATTTTGTGTCATTTAGGATTTGTTTTCTCCTCTCGGCTGCTTGATAATTGGATGTTGTTCCTTGTTCTAAATAGCCAATTCATGGATGGTATATACATGTTGCCAAGGAAAGTGCTGATGTCATCATATTGGATGACAATTTTAAGACTATAGTAAATGTGGCCAGATGGGGACGTTCAGTGTACATAAACATTCAAAAGTTTGTGCAGTTCCAGTTGACAGTTAACGTTGTTGCTCTAATAATCAATTTTGTTTCTGCATGTGTCTCAGGTATGTTGGTCTGGCAGATTTTTCTCGCATGCTACACCATTATATTTGTTTAGAAAGACACAAATAAATAACGATAAATTTCACATCTCTTTCAGGATCTGCTCCCCTTACGTCTGTGCAATTGCTTTGGGTCAGCATGATTATGGACACTCTTGGGGCATTGGCACTGGCAACAGAGCCTCCAAATGATGGACTTATGAAAAGTCCCCCTGTTAGGAGGGGTACAAGCTTCATAACCGAGGCCATGTGGTGGAATATCATTGGCCAGAGTATCTATCAACTGATTGTCCTTGGAGTTCTCAATTTCTATGGGAAACAGCTACTTGGACTTTCTGGTTCAGATGCAACTGAAGTTCTAGACACTGTGATATTCAACACATTTGTGTTTTTCCAGGTACATTTTACTGGTTAAAAGCAACCCTAGTTTTCTCTTGCATCATCAACACGTTTAACTTTGATACAGCCTATAACTTCTTCTGGGCTATGCATGTGTCCGTCTGTCTCTCTGAAATCTTAACACACCAGCATAAGTACTCGAATCCCGCATACATATGATGTTTGTTTGCTTTTGTTTTTATCAGGTGTTTAATGAGATAAACAGCCGTGACATAGAGAAGATAAACATATTCGTGGGCATGTTTGACAGCTGGGTATTCCTAGGCGTCATGGTTTGCACAGTGGCCTTCCAAGTTATCATAGTAGAGTTCTTGGGAGCTTTTGCTAGCACTGTTCCACTAAGCTGGCAACTATGGTTGCTCTCCATTTTACTTGGATCTGTTAGCATGCTTGTTGCAGTTGTTCTCAAGAACCTTCGCAGGAGGTTCCGCTTCGTCACCGATCTCGATAAGAAGCGTCAAATCCAGGTCTCTTTCTCTCTCTCAGCTTATGCAGTTTTTACGTTTTTGTTTTCATTTCGTTAAAAAAAATATGAACATGCCGCCGTTTATAGAGGTTTTGCTGGCCTGATTGTTTGGTTAACGAGAAAAAAAGGGTAGGAAAACAAAAGAAATTAAAACGATTTTCAGCATTTTAATTTGAGTAATTTGGACTGCTAAAAATTCAGGGATCGCTAATCGTAGGTTGCAAATTAAATCGTCATTTTCTACTGAATGGATGATATTTATTTAGATGAGCATTTTGGATTAGAACTCACAAAATGACAGTTTTTTCTTTGCTTGATTTTCTCTGCTGCCAAACAAGCAGGCGGCTAGGGATTTGTTTCGGCTTACAATGAACTTTTATGACATAATAATACTAGTTTCTTTTGTAGGCTTCTTCGGTAGAGTGGGCGTTCTTACTCTCTGCCCTCTGCCTAGAGATTTTGTCCCTCGCTTTTGATCAGGCTTCCTCCCCAAGTAAGCCCCACTATGCACTGTTTGGTATGATATTGGCTATTGCAGCTGTACTCATTTGCATCTGGGAGCTCATTGACAAGGGTAAAAGGGAAAGAGTTGTATTAAGGCAGTGGGGACGGTTGTGGTGGTTCTATTATCCAGATCCCCCGCCTAGGCTTTTTGGTACTGTTCTGAACTTTTATGGATTAGTTGGGGGAATTGCCCAGTGTATTTGCTCGACTGTTCAATACGTTTTCTTCCTTCGGCATGCTGATAATCCTATCAAAGTATCCCTTTGGCCTGCCATCTTTGTTATATGCTTAGGTGCTAAAAGATTAAATGATAATCGAAATGAGATCCACAGAGATTGAACAAAGACTAATTGAGAGCAGACCAAATAAGGGGATGGTTGTAAAAGATTGTTGTTGCGAGTTTTAGATTTCAATTTTAGTTATGTGGCCGTGTCTGTTGTAAAATATTGTAGTTTTGATGCATATATGCTGCTTTTCCTTCTGTATGGACTGAAGTGATCTTGGCTTTGCTAAAAAGTTTTGTTTGTAAAATATTCCTGAAGTGATCTTGGCTATGCTCTCCCCTCTCTCCTCTTCTCTCATCGCACGCTTTTCAGATCTTGGAACTCATTCACATCTTGGCAGTGGTGTTTTTCTTCTTGCTTGGTGGGTTTTGCTTTTGAAATAGTGTTTTTGTTTTTTGCTTTGTTGATTTTCTTCATAGCTTCGTACTTTCGATTTTTTTCTTTTGTTTCAATTTAATTTTTTTTTGGTTTTGGGTCATCCTAATCACCAGTTTTGATTTTCTTCATAGCTTCATATCCATTTTCAGACCTGATGATTTAATCCTATGTTGCTCCTTGGAATTTCGGTTCCCGTAACTTCTCCTTAGTATCACTTGGCAGCCTTATTTTCCTTGAAACTTTCAAATGTTTAAATCCAACAAAATTGATTTACTCCATGACATGGCTACTAACATGATTTGTCACATATTTCACTCAAAGTCATTTCATGTCACATGTAGCATGCGTTGGCAAGACACATAGTCTTTGATGGTAGGACACATAGCGCGTCATGTTACTGAGTAAAACAATTATGTTAAAGATATATCCTGGAAAGGCCTTAGATGTGATAAGGTTCAAACTGAAGGGTCGCTCGGCCTGTTCAGTACCCTCCTAGCAAGAAGCTGGTGAATGCAACTTGATTGTTGTAACTTGTATAACATTTACCAGAAAAAGAAATTGGTGTCTTGTTCCTTTTGTCAATTTAAGATGTTTCATTACGTAGTTTCCCTTGGGGAATAGGCCAACTTGAGATATTTACTGTGATTTCCCTCTGGTCCTCTTTTAGTTTCCCTTGGATCATCTTTTAGTTCAATTAGGGTTATTTTTTTTTTCTTTTTTAACTATGAAGAAATTAGGTTATATTTTAAAGATGATGTGTCAAGTTAAAGTCCCTTGGATTAAATTTTAATGAAGTAGCTTATGCAGGTGTTGAGGCCCAAAAAAATCTTAAGGAAGGCCCATGCATATTTTAAGCCCAATGCATTATCACACTATAAAAGCAGCCTAGTCGATACATACATGCCATGCCAAGCAAGGCTACAATTTGGCATGTGGGGAGGTCGTGGTACAAGTTTACCACTTTCACATGCAAACCTGTAAAGGTTACAAATTTCACAAGCCCAAGCCCACCTAGCTCACTGCACTATGAAACATTACCTAACACAAAGTCCAAGCCACTACAATACAACATAGCCCAAGCACAAGCACGCGATAACACGCGATACTAAGCAACTCCCTTTTAGTATCAAATCTCGCAACAAGCTTAAGTGGGCCCAAGCCACTTACATGCATGGGGCTTGCTGATCAGTTTGTGGTGTGGAAGGTTACAAAGTCCACAAGGCCAAATGGTTCAAAAGATGAAGGTTTTGGGCTGGGCACCAAAACCATGCCCATTTTCTTGAGTCATTAAATGGGTAAGCAGAGAGAAGAGTTGTCGCATCTATTTGGCACCCAACCCCTACCCATATCCCGTGTGAAGTACCCATACGACATTAAAACCAACCATACAACACCAAAACAAACTATACGGCACCAAAACAAACTACCTTATCTTTTCTCGTAGAAACCAACTACCCGGCACCTACATAGAATGAAGAAGTCATGTCATCTCAGCTGGGAGGCAAACGACCAAAAGGAAATGACCACCTCGAAGTCGGAGCGCACGCTTGCATAGAGAAGTGATCTCCCAAGGCCTATAAAAGGAGAGATGGGAGCAAGCGAAAAGAAGGAGAACATAGAGGGGGACATCCATAACTGGAAACACCAAAACAACCCAAGCTTTAGCCATTCCAAACTAAAAAACAACATCCATGCTCTAGCTGCCGTAAACAACACAGCAAACCATGCTCTAGATGCCATAAGCATAGGAGTAAACACACAAAACCCAAGCCTTAAACAACATCCAAAGCCTTACCAAGAACACATCGGCATCAATATCAAACCCATCCGCAAGTTGTTGGAAGTATAAAACTCAAGCCTTTCCCAATACACTATCCAATCATTCCACAATACACTGCCATAATCATCTATTTCTCAAGAAAATCACTCTCTCTTGCTAAACTTATGGATTCTTAGCTTCCACATCACAAGACTCTCATGCCAAGCCCAATATCTTGATACATCAAAGAGAACTCTCATGCCAAGCCTATCTCTGTACAACATCTACGTATCATCCTTAGCTCTCTCTAGAGATGTCATACGCAATACGACGCCATTTTACAAGACCATCTAGCAGCTCTGTCCGGCAGCATCGTACACCATCTAGTAGTGCCATACACCATCCAGCTACACCATCCAGCAGTGTTGTACACCATCTAACAGGCACCACTATATCTCATTTGAATGCCACCATCTAGTGGGTGCCATACCTCACACAAGCATCGTACACCATCCAGCAGTGCTGTACACCATCCAACAGGCACCACCGTATCTCATTCAAATGCCACCATCTGGTAGGCGCCATACCTCATACAGGTGTCGTACATCTGCACTTGAAGCCAACCAAAACAAGCAACCCCAGAAAGTATAATAGAGTACTCCCCTAGGGCTTGCTTCCCCTTCGGGATACTTTGGGCTTAGTTCTTGCTAACTCAGAAACGAGGACTTGAAGGCTTCATTAAAGACTAGCAACCATCCGGCCCATCTAAGCCTTTCAATAAAAAAAAGACCCCAACAGCAAGAAAGAAGTCAAGCATATCATGGCAGAGAGAATCCAAGCAGAGGATTCGGATCCTATAGATAAACCCTACACCATTTAATCCAAGCATCGGAGGGATTTTGGCTAACACCCCCCGGGTGTGGTCTTTTACTCTTATTTGTTTTACAGGAATCGAGGAAGAGAGATAAGGAAGTTCAAAGGGTGAAGGATCTACATGTGAATATTCTTCCATGAGAAATTTGCACAAACAAGTAATTCAATATTTATCGAAAATTTGGTGTTCAACTCAAATTTTGGGTTTTAGTTAGAAAAAAAAATAAAAGAAAAAAGAACGTGCATTTTTGTCTAGACTATTTTAGTTGCAACGGGTTATATCTGAATGACAAATATAAAAAAAATCTTCTCTTCTTTGGTTCGAGAAATTCTTATCAATCATCCCAAGTTTCTCCTCGGTCTTATGAAACCAAGCATCATGGCTCATATTTGAGCAATTAATCTCACAAAACTGCAACTCATAATTAGTAAAATATGAAATGGAAAAATAAAAATAAAATACGTACGTGTATTGTTTGAAAAAATTATTAAAAAATACAAATGAAAAGTTCGGCCACTATATAATTAATTTAAAATTTATTATATATATTACTTTTATTCAACAATATATGAAAAATACGTGTATAATATATGAACTTTTTTTGTATTTTGTAAATTTTTTGGATGGCTACTAGGATTTTTTTTTTTTTTAAATTAAAACTTTATTGAGTTAATTAAATGGATAGATGTCAAAAGTTCAAAAATGATGTATCAAATCTTAAGTCGTTAGATTATAAGAATAGCCTAGATGTTGCGAAATGCCAATAAATTTATCGTGTGTAAATGTAGAGGCTTGGGATCCATATGCACCTACACGAACATACACAAATATAAACTACTAACAATTTCTTTATTATTTGGCAAGAAAAATGGTATGTTAAGTAAATATCTAAAAATAAACAAAATTGAAGGGAATTTAATTTTAAGGATGAGGTTGGGTTTGAAAGCCCATTCGGAGCAATTTGAGCTGAGAGGTGACAATGGCGGTGGCAACATCATGATGTGGTGGAGAAGATGATAATGTAGTCACATAGATGCGATGCGGTGGTGAATATGCTGACAAGCATATGCCATGGCAAGCTTGGCTAAAAAGTCAAAATGGTAATTTTAAAAGGAAAATGCTAGGGTTACCACGTTTTTATACCAGATTATGTATCACCTCTCTAATAGAGGTGGGTTTCATCTTTATTAGAGAAGTGGTACACGATGTGGTATAAAAATGTAGTAAGCCTTGCATTATCCATCTTAAAACTCTCAATCTAAACTTTTGTGGAAATTTTTTTTTATCAATTTTTTTAAAAAAAATTGTGGATATTTTTATTTTTGGAGAACTTGGTCGGGAATTGATTAAGCTTATAAGAACAAAGGTTGAAAAAGAGTTTTTATGAAAAATAGCTAAAATTTGACCCCTACTTTCATAAATGTCAATTTTTATAAAAACTTTCAAATATAGCAGAAAAATCACATGAATAGACTTAAATACCCTTAAATCTAAAACTCACAAAAACCTTAAAAACAAAAGAAGCGTTCAGGGAATACTCATGATCTGTAGCGTATATTCCCAAAGTTCAATTTTTATTATGTATCAATATTACTACGTTTTCTATTTCTTTTTTTAATTTATAATTATTATAAAAATGCGAGATAGATTGATAACAAAACAAAATTGCACTAAATCATCATTGAAAATGTGCTGCTGAGTTTTCTGGTCTAGGACCAACAGAAAAAAGGCAAGACTTAACTAACTACTGTCTGTTACAATAGCAATCTGCAAACCATCATCCGTTAAAAAGCCGATCTATCTTCAACAAGATGAAGGTCTGCTTGAATCACACCCCTGGCATCCCCTTCTATCACACCATTAAATCTTTATATCTTGGATCGGTGCATGTATAAAACCATTAAATTTTGCTGTAAAAATTTATTGTTACTTGAATATTTGTTTTCAATATCCAAAGATATTCACTATAACTTTACATCTTCCATGGTTTCTCTAAGTTGGAGGTATGTGTGCAGAACGAAAAAATCAACAAAATGATCTACATAAAATTATAAATTAAATATTCTCAAAGTTTTATCTAATAGGGTTTTGCCTTTTAGGTTTATGTGGGTTTTGTTTTGAGGACATTTAAGTCTATTCAAGTGGGATTTTGGTTACATTTGAAATTTTTTATAAAAATTGACATTTATGAAAGTATAAGTTATATTTTG